AAACGTTTAGATTACCAGCGAATATTTCTCACTTTTAAGAGCCTTTTGAGCCCTATATCTAATTTATCAGTGGTGTCAGGCATCTTATGAGTTTTTTTTGCTCATCCCTACTGAATTATCATATAACTCGTCTGCTAAAACAAGACTTTTTTCGATTTTTTTTCTATTTTTTAGAATAACTATATTACATGTAGTAAATGGTTTGAGCCCACGAGTATCAGTGGTTCATCTTGTGTGATCGTCAGGGTGAGGGTAGTTCTGAAAAGAACTGTTGTTGGTGACTGATGTTTCGAAAACCTGAGCAGAAGTCATCTTCAGATTCAAGTGAATAGTGTTTGTCAGTTGATGATGTTGTCAAGTCTGGTCCGTTGAATAGACCAGACTTGTGTATCACCAGCTGATAACAATTATTATTGTTTCACTTAATAACAATAAATTAAATTTACAATACATTTATTTACATCCTACCAATTACAAAGGCTGAGTACAATAAAGAATTATGTTTCAGTCAGGGTTGCTGAATAGATCATTGGTTGTGCTCAATTAAGGGTTTATGTTTATTGTAGCATTTGATTCAAGTACAGCTGAACCCTGCTATTTCAAACTCTTAGACGGAAACGAAAAACAGGTCGATGTAGCAGGAGTTCAAAATAACCAAGAGTGCATATCCAGGGAAAATGACTTTGAGTTCGAAATAACGGGGAGTTCAAAATAACTGAATTCAAATTGCAGGGGTCCCACTGTAAATTAGTTCTAGTCATCTCAGCTTTTTTTGAGGATACCTAAATACCAAGTCAGGATTTGAGCCAGGACTCGTCGTGACATTTCATTTGAGGGAACAATGACTGAGACCAGGTTAACTCACTATATATTTTAGTTAACACATTCTCTGTGTTCTTGCAGTCAGTTCCACTCAGTTTGCTCGAGGATAGCTTTCATTTTGTGGTTTGGACAACACAAACCAAAATATAAAAATAATAACATAAGGAAAATTAATGAAGGGCTGACTTGAGTGCTCAAGTCCTGCCATTGATATTAGTTTGTCTCACTATTTCATCATTGTTTGATAAACACTTAAAGAAAAAGGCTCTCCATAAAAAAATAACCAATATTACTGCACCTTTCAATAACACATAACCTCTGAAGTTCAAAACCTAACTAAGAATTGTG